AAAAAGACACAAAATGACAAAAACGAGACACAAAGCGGCAACAAAGAAACAAAACTGTCTAAAAAAGACAAAGCCTCTAAAACAAGACAAATCAAGTCATCTTCATGCAGAATGTTTCTCAGTTTTCTGCCTCATCAGTGTTTAAAAATACAGAGAAATCCAGTGAAACGATGAAGGGTTTTGTAGAGATGCTGAGAAACAGGCGACGCTGGTGTTTTATTCTGTGATCAGCTGTTACAGCCTCAAACACAAGCTGCTGTCAAAAATAAATGCTGCAGACACACAAATATCTGATGCAGGTTTTAGACTCAGAGCGTGAGCAGAAGACTTCCGGCTGTCCGGTCCGACTCTTCACCCACAGACACAACCGGTCCGATAACTTCAGCCGGCTCTGAACCACGTTACTCATCGATTAAAGCACAAAGTCTAACAGTTGAAACGGTGCAAAGCATAAAAAGAGTCCAACAGCTCAGACTGTGGATCAGAGCGTCCACAGCAGAAGACGTCATTCAAGAGCTGAACAAACGCTGCAGGTGTTCAGAGCTTTAAGGCCTCCAGCAACAAGCAAAGCAGGACGTAAATCAACCGTCCCAGCTGCTCTGCTGGTTCACTTTTTACTTTCACATTTCATTTGGATTTTGACCCCAAACCAGGTGTGACGACGTGAATCCATCCGTCATCAGTTCACATAGTTTCTGTCCATGTTGGCAGGAGGACGTCCTCCAACAGGCAGCAAGTGAAAAGACAGAGAGACGGAATGAAGAGCGACAGGGAACCGTCTGATCAGCACAAACAGCTTTTTAACAAACACCTACTGAGTCTCTGAATGCAGTCTGGTGCTGGTTGGTGGTTCTGTGATCCCAGACTCACCGTTCACCTGCAGCAGGAAGTCCTGCCTCCGCAGCAGCTTCCCTCCTTCATCAAACACCTCCAGGCTGTAGTTTCCTGCGTCTCCGGTTTGAACTCGGCTGAACCTCAGCGATCCGTTGCTCAGCAGCTCACAGCGTCCTTGGGGACCGGCTCTGGTCCGGTTCTTGCTGAGCAGCAGATGAGGATGAGTCCAGCGGACATCCCAGCGGGGCTGCATTGGCAGGCCGGCCGACAGCAGGACGCCGTCGCCGGCAGACGCTCTGATGACCTTTACAGAGGCGGCTGGAGTCCGAGGACGAGATGCAGAAACAATGCAAATTCATTCAGGAGTGCACAGCGAACCAACAGAGTCTACTGAGCAAAAGTTAAAAACTAATGTGATCTAAAATGTGTCCAAAACATTTCAAATGCAGAGCAACATGACCAAAGCAGCTTAAAACGATGAAAAGTGACCTGGAAGTCTGTCCAGAGGGACTCGGTGTTTGTTCAAAATGATTCACAGTTGGTCTAAAATGGCTGCACAACAACCACAACAAGGACCAAAGATCTTTTTCTGATTCAAGATTCAAGACCTTTATTTGTCACAAACACAACGACACGCCGTGAAATGTGTTCCAGAACCAAACCGTGACACCAACAAGAAGAAAACGTGTCCAGAGTTACTCTGAAAGTCCAACATGACTGAAAATGGTCCAAATGGTTCACAATCGGTTCAGAGCGACTAGAAATGGTCAAAATCAATCCAAACAACACTTTGCTTTTTGCTTTTCATCCAATCAAAACGGAGGCTTCAGAATATGTTAAACGGCACTGAAACGTTTGTGTTTTGTTTCCTTATTATTGTCTGTTTACAACAATAACAACAATAACAACAATAATAATAATAATAATAATAATAATACATTTTTTTAAGCACTTTCCCTTTAACAGGAATCTCAAAGTGCTCCAACAGTACACACACTTTAAACTTTCTAAAACGGACCCCTTGAGTTGAGCTAAAAGCCTCTTTAACAGGTCTTCAGGTCTTTTTCTAGTCGTGCTCTACGTTCCCTTCACACTAAGCTGTGCTGGTTCTGGTTCCTGCTGAGCTTCCTGGACGTGACCACAGACAGTCAGACAGGAAGCTTCAGTGATCTGCTGTCTAGTGGCTCTACAGGTTTTTCAGACGAAGCTTGAATCCACACACTGACCTCTGCTCATCAGTAGAAACGCCATCCAGACGGCGGCCGCCATGACTGGACCGTGCAGCTGCCGGACTCTGAGCTCGACTTCAGACGTCAGCCTGAGGAGGAAACAGCTACTGAGCGGCTGCAGGCGTTTATAGGAAGGCAGCACCGCAGACTGAAACCTCAGAGTGACTGTTCAGAGGCCGACACTCAGACCACAGCAGCAGAGAGCGGCCCGTGAAACATCAGCTGATCCTGATCTGGGTCACCTCACAGTAATCAGATTACTTCTTAGTAGAGCAGCAGAGTGCTTCCTCATCATCAGAAACAAACTCATTATACAGACTGTACGGAAAATTCAGCTCCAGAGTAGAACCTCAGAGAACTGAGTCCAGCTGTGGTCTCCATCAGTCCACCTGCATGAACATGGTTCTACACCGAGCTGAGAGCAGCAGAACCTTCTTAGTTCTGGGCCTCTGGACTGTGTCTATCTATGTCTGCATCATGGCTCCACATGGAGAAGACCTGAACAGAGGAGGAGAAACATCTGACTGAGAGACTGGACAAAGATGGAAAAGAATCAAGAAGATCAGTGAGCAGCTAGAACCCAGTGCAGCCCAGTGTGAGCAGGAACCAGGAGGTCCAGAAGGAGCCACTGTAGCTCTGATCAGGGCTGCTGCTGTGGATCGAGTGGAGGTTTCGGTTTATGCTCAGAGAGGCTGGACCATGCAGACTGCACATCATGAGCTGCTGACTGAACATCTGGACCAAAGCTGAAGGAAGCAGACGAGAGGAAACGACGTGTCCTGACCCGAGTCATGGAAGCTGCTCCAGTCTGACGGGACACGTCTGCTCCCCGTGGATCTAGTCTTTCACTCTGTTGTGAGTTTATATTCAGGTTCTCGGTGCTTTTCTCTGACGCAGACTGGCAGCAGCTCAGCTTCCTGTCAGCTGACCTCTGACTTCCTGTCTTGATGTTTGGGGTAAATCAGGAGTCTTGAGGACCACACTGACCTTCCAGTCGATCAGCTCGCTGGCTCCATCCAGTGGATTGCGACAGCTACTGCAGCCAGCGCAGTCAGAACCAGGCAGAGCTCAGGAGAGTCCGTCGGGTCGCTGTTTGGGACACAGCTTCAGCCCTGCACGGTTCTGATCCCACAGAACATTTCACAGGAAGTACATCTTATATGAAGGCGTATGTTTGTTAAACACCAGCCAGCTGTTCAGACGACATCATCACGCCTTCATGTCGTGTCAATCAGCTTCAATCTACTGACCTGCCAGAGCCCACCTGATGGAAACGTGTCAGAACCGAACGAGGGTCTTCATGTGTGGTCCACCAGAGTTCTGCTGACTTCATTCCCTCCATCTCATCTAGTCCAGGTTCAAGCTGCTGCTGTTTAAACTTGTCAAACGCATGAACCTGGATCACTCAGCCTTCTTATTCTGAGGCCATGAATCCTGAAGCAGCTGAGTTCAGCTCCGGCAGCACGTCGACGCAGAGAACTCTGGGATGGACGCTAGCAGGACCGAAGTCTGGAGAGTCCAGCAGGGAAGCAAACTGGAACTTCTCATTTCTGCATTTAGCCGGTGAGGAAGGACAGAGTGGACCTGACGTGGCTCACTGAGGATCTTTAGTAGACAAAGTCCAACTGTCTGTTAGAGGCTTTAAGACCCGGCAGGACGTGGAGGCTGTTTCCAGGAG